TGCACTATTATAAAGCCTTTACTCAGCGATTTTGTTGAAGAAGGGCATGTTGATTTTTTTTACATCACTTCAAAGTGTTGGTGTAGCACAGTTGGTAGTGTCAAGGTTTGCCAATGCGGCCGTCTCGAGTTCGATTCTAGGTTTCTGGTGCAGGGTAAATAATTTGGTGGTGTGCTTTGTAACTAATTTCGATTAATTTGATTCTCACAGTAAAATAAACTCAATAAATTCCATCATAAAAAAATAGCGTAAACAATATTTAAGCCGACTACAAAAAAAGCTGTGTAGTGATTATTGGATAACCGGGAAAAGGTTGAATAAGTGCCTTTCAAGTTCACACACAACTAAACAGCAGGATAACAGCTGTATAGAAGCGTTAATGGATATGCAATAAGAGCTTATCCTAACCGTCCCAACAGCCATGAGCAGCTGACTAAGTTCGCCAGATTTGTTTGTAAACTGAAACCTCCGTTTCGAAGTCTTTTTTACGCAGTATTCAATTTACGTCCTTCTGTTTACGAAGTAAATCCCAAATTACGAGGTATTTTTTTACGAAGTAAATTCCAAACAACGAGTTTTATTTTGTGATTTTGGGAAACTGGGATATACTGTGAAATACCCCACAATATGGGTCTTGTTGGAATCAGAGTGACGTGTAGGGACTGGAAATCGATGTGTGACGCCATTTTGAAATCCAAGATGGCGGCTTCCGGTCACATAAAAACTAGGAAATTCTGCCAAATACCCCCACAATATGGGTATTTTTGGAAACGGAGTGACGTTTAGGGACCAGAAATCGATGTCTGTCACCGTTTTGAAATCCAAGATGGCGGCTTCTGGTTACAGAAAAACTTGTACATTCTGCCAAATACCTCACAATATAGTTATTTTTGGAATCAGGGTGATGTGCAGGGACCAGAAATCGATGTCTGACGCCATTTTGAAATCCAGGATGGCGGCTTCCGATTACAGAAACACTTGAAAATTCTGTCATATACCCCACAATATGGGTCTTTTTGAAATTAAAGTGACGTGTAAAGCCGGAAATTTATGTCTGACGCCATTTCAAAATCCAAGATGGTGGCTTCCGGTTACAGAAAAAATTGCAAATACCACCATGTCACCCCGATTCTTAAGATACCCATATTTTAGGTTATTTAACTTAATTTTTTATGTTTTTATGTAACCGGAAGTCGCCATATTGAATTTAAAATTGGCGTCAAAAATGGGTTTTCAGTCCTAATAAGTGACCCCGATTAAAAAAAAACCCATATTGTGGGGTATTTGACAGTATTTTTCCAGTGTTTCTGTAACCGGATGTCACCATCTTGGATTTAGAAATGGCGTCAGACATGGATTCCCGATTCTCACAGGTAATTCCGATTCCAAAAATATGCATATTGTTGTGTATTTAACGGTATTTTTCTGTATTCCTGTAACCGGAAGCCACCATCTTGGATTTCAAAATGGCGTCACACATCGATTTCCGGTTCCTACACGTCATTCCGATTCCAAAAATACCCATATTGTGGGGTATTTGACAGAATTTCCAAGTTTTTATGTAACCCGAAGTTTCCATCTTGGATTTCAAAATGGCGTCACACATCGATATTCAGTCTCTACACGTCACTCCGATTCCAAAAATACCTATGATGTGGGGTATTTGGCAGAATGTCCAAGTTTTTCTGTAACCGGAAGCCGCCATCTTGGATTTCAAAATGGCGTCAGACATCTTTTTCCGGTCCCTACACGTCACCCTGATTCCAAAAATACCCATATTGTGGGGTATTTGACAATATTTTCAAAAACCTCTTTTTACGAAGTAAATCCCAAATAACGATTTTTTCTTTTTACGAAGTAAATCCCAAATACCTAACGAGGTTTTTTTACGCACTAATTCGATTTACAAACCACCGTTTTGGTTCGTAAATGGAGGTTCCAGTGTATAGAGGTTGAGTAAAGGTTTCGTTATATCGTATATCGTTTGAAATAAGAGTTAAACAAGGTTGACAATTTACAGGTAATATTTTACACTGAGAAGTGCTATTTAAATTTGTTGTAGCCTTAGGTGACAGTAACACTTTCTTCTGCAAAAAAAAGTAGAAGGGTCTGTGCCTAGGGGCACGAACGAAAGCTTGACGTAGGACCGCTAGTGGACGGAATAAATGTGAAGAGCATTTAGTTCTTTTAATTGATCAATTATCTATTATCGCAACTATTTCCGTTTTTGAATTGTAGGCGTACCAAATTTGTAGTAATTTTGTTCAAAGAGAAAGTTGATTAAGAGAATAAATCAAAATCACTTGTACCCCTGCTTCCAAGTTTGGTTACAAGGTTACAACTCTGGAGAGCATTTTGTGTGGTCGTTGGGGGCTTGTGGTTCTGAATATGGACAAACAAGCACAGATAAATTATATTCCAACTCTTTACTGATGTAAGCTTGATGGCCGTTTGATTGAAGAGGACATCGATGGCCACTGACGCTTGCCGTGTTTAGTGTAGGTGACAGCATCACGGAACTCATTTTCCAGTAACACTTTCAGCACACCTCGTATATCAGACCGGAGCTACGTTTGACACCACCACGGCGAGCCAGACGACCAATGGCGGTTATCTCGAAGAACTTTGCGATGACGCTTGGCGCCTCCTTTACCAGACCTTTTCCTACTGCTGCTATTGCTGTTCACCACGCCGTCCGAAGCGAAAATGAGCTAATGCCTTACAGCAGCGCTGTTTTATATATTTTCAGGTTAAAACAGAATGATGTGCAACCAAGTGGTATAAAAGCTACAAAGACTCCTCGCATTATGAGTAGTTTGCTATCAAGTAGCGACACTGGCTCTTTTCCATTTGGGTACACGGCAAATGAAAACGATCCAAATTTGAGTTTAGTTCACTCATAATCGCCAAAAGTGCAGGAACTCAGCGATGAGTAATTTTGTCTCATGGTTTCCTGTGGAAAATCAAAAAAATCTGCCAGAAAATGAGGAAATTGACGAACATTTTATTCAGTCTCGGAGTAATACCAATAGACTGAGGAATCCAATCTTTACTTTTCTCATATTTGGGAATTTTTCCCTGGAAAATCTTATAAAAACCCAAGAAAACATGAGGCAAATTTACTCATCGCTGAGTTCCTGCACTTTATTTCTTATTACTGAGATAACTTAACTCAAATTTGGGTCGTTCTCTTTCGCCGAAAAGATATCGGTGCCGGTGGTTTGCGTGATTACCTCTCACCCCAGCAGGCCTGTGTCCAATCTCAGTCGGCGCCACGGGCATGTTCTAAGGCATAACATCTCTGATCACGCCTTCCTTCGGGAAGTAAAGCCGTTGGTCCCCGGTTGAGTGGATGGGTCGATTGGTAGGGTCCAGGTGTGGGAGCTGCCTCCCTGGCGTCAGTAGCATTGGAGCTCAGTACGGAAAACAAATCTCGCATCACTTTGCAATAGATTGTTACTTCTTTCATCGAAAATATCCGGCTGTGGCGAATCAAAGTTGATCAAGGTTGATCAAAATAATTTGTACCCCCTGCACCCAGTTTGATTCCATGAGCTTTTTGTGTGGTCGTTGGTTCTAAATATGAAAAATGAATTCTATTCCTACTCTTTACTGTAATAAGCTTGGTGGCCCTGAAAAGAGCCGTTTTGTTGCCATGATTTAACCTCCGAAACTAAACAGAGTGCGTCTCTGTCACTTCAAAACGTAGATGACATCCATAGCCGCTTACGCTTGGCGTGTTTAGTGTAGGTGACAGTATCACGGATCTCATTTTTCAGGAACACCTTCAGCACACCTCGTAGATCAGACCGGAGATATGTCAGACTCCGCCACGGCGAGCCAGACGACGGATGGTGGTTATCTCGAAGAATTTGCGGTTGGTTCTGAATATGGCGATGAGTGTGCAAAATATTACGCAATTCCATCCTCCCTATTCACACGCGCCCGAGGATCGGAGGCGAATGCCACTTCGACTTGTTTCGTCTACTTACTACTCTCTGACGACTGTGCTGGGGAAGCAGCATATGCATGTAGGTAATTGGTGGATTTGTTAGTTAATTCGACGCTTTTGGACAATGCTGAACATTTACCAGCTTTTCAATAGTTTCTTGTTGAAAATCAACATTCAGAAGCATTGTTATCGATGCGTAGCCATATTTCTGATCGATTGGTGATAAAGTTATTGAAATTGAACCAGGGGCAGCTGAGTTATTAACGTTCAAAATCTTTCTTAATTTGTTACATGTTCCATTTTTGGTTTTCACAAAGTGTTCCCTCATATAGAAATCAAAGACGTAGTCCTACGTCAAAAAAACAAATAGATTCACACGAAAAAAGAGGACGATGCAGACTTCAAAACTCATCCTGGAGTAGAGCATCATAAGGGTTACAGGTTTACAATTTTCAGGAAAAATGCACTCAATTTGCTTTCGCAGTCATTCCGGAAGACTTCACAGTACATTAAGTGGAAGTTCCAAGACTGGTTGGTATGGCTGAGCTTTCTTTGGATAACGTCCGGTAATCTTTTTTTAAGTGTACTAAACTGGTTCTGAAAATATTTTAAATTCAGTCAAGCCGATTTTGTGATGTCTTCTAACTTGATATGATCTATAATGTAAACTTGTATAATATACGCTCCATTCATGTGTATAATTATGAACATAATTTTGAACTACGTTTTCAACTTCTGTGCGGAAATAGATAAGGGAACGTGCATAAATGACGTAGCATTTGAGGGGAGAGAATGATGGTTTCAGAAGTTTTGACCGATCATGTAATAGATACAGCAAAATACGCTACGGGGCCTAAAATCAGTTAACAATATACCACATCATTTATGCATGGTCCGTAATATGAAATAACCAGAAATCTCTTAGTATGCCTGAACTGGCATGATTTCCGCTAACGGCTAGCACAGCCACAATAGGATAAAACACCCTCACCCACACCACAGCCATCCATAAAGCTAATGCAACTTCTATTGTTTTCTCTCATTTCAGACTCAGCTATGGACATTGTGCAAACAGATTACCTCAACTATGCCATAGTATATTCCTGCAACCCAATCAACTCAACAACTGTATCAGGTACAAAACTAAACCAAAAGTTGCAGGTCAGAAACGAACCTAACAACACTTTCCTTTCTACAGAATACGCGTGGGTCCACTCCCGTGAGCCTGTTCTCAAAAAGCATACCGCTGATTTGATCAACAAATTCATCAACGTCCACTTCAATCACCCGGAGCACAAATGGCGCACAACCGAGCAATCGGACAAAACATGCAAACCAAACACTCTCCCCGGAAGCGGAGCGTCCGCCAATGTGGTGAGGATGCCACTCTGGAGCAGTTTGCTGCAATTTTCGATAGCATGCTTGTTGGCAAAACTGGCTTTGTGAGATTTGTTTCATGCAGTGTGCTCTATCATTTTAGTCTGATTAGTAGAAGAATTAATGGAAAATCTCATTACGTTTATGTGAAAAGTGCCACAATGTCGGAAATATAAGCTTTTGTACGAACGAACTAATGCTATGCCTACGCGACTGAATTCATGCAACGGTTTTGCTGCTAACGCTCGTAAAGAAGAGATTGAATTACGATGACTAATTGGTCAAAAGCAGTCGAAAATGTACGGGCTTCAGTAGTTCAATTATTTGTAATTTTCACTTCAGTTTTGCATTGATTCACACCTGGACATTTGTGTATTTTGACAATCATCCGGATGGATGACATAAAATAATGACAATGGTCCCACCTATTACCCCTACAAAGGTTTGATCTGGACGATAATTAAATATGACATTTTAACCAGCTTAGCAAACAAAATCGAACTGGTTTCAGTTACAGATATAAATTCATTCTAGAGTTTACAGTTGCTTCACAGCGATGTGTGGAAAAGCTCAGGCGACCACCTCTTAGTTCGCTTTTTTGTCCACCTAAAATATTCATAAGTATTAGTTACAAGCAATCAAGAGTTGATGAACAATCAACAAAGCATCCTATTACACTAGCAACCCCGCAATCTGATGCTATCATAATTTTCAACAATGTCAGGAATGCTCACGAACCCCTGACATTTGCCAGAAAACTTACTTCCAACTCAAGGTATCTAACTAAGGTAAGCTGCAAACCTGTGTAGATTTTTTTAAATTAATCTACTACTATTAAATCAAATATTAAAAATCCATCATCACCATCGTGGGTAACCAAAAAAGTTTTTGCAGTGCTACAATAATTATTAAAAAGTCATCATGACAGCTATGCACAAAAAATAATCCGTTATATATAAATTCGTCAGGATACATAATTTGTCAATTCATAAAAAAATCACTGGATAACTGTTCAAAAGACAGTTTTAATGTGTGAAATGCAGTGTATTTTAAATTCTGTAAGTGTTGCTGAACGTTTGATATGTCTAGGCATCGAATTGAAAACATTTATTCCTTTAAAATATAATGAGTTTTGTGAAGCACAAGTCAAGAAATGTGGTGTTCTCATTTCAACCGCGTTTCTAGTATAATACCTATTATATAAGTGATGTGATCTTTTTTCTTTTCTTTTTTTTTAAAGTATGGAACATCCATTTTGGTTGAATATTGAAATACAGGCGATTTAAAAAAAAATGAGTTTTCGATTACCGCGAGTGAATAAACCGGTGCTTTTTTGGAAGCAGAATTTGGTTCGATGCAACTGATTTATAATCAATCATAAATGCATATTTCCATATATTACTAAATACGCGCGAGATTTCGAAACATCACAATTCGAAATCTGTAAGTGTGTTTGCAGTACCATTAAACTTGCTTTAAATTATTACATCAATTATTGTAGTAAGCAAATGCCTTCCACACACACAGAACACACACACACACACACACACACACACACACACACACACACACACACACACACACACACACACACACACACACACACACACACACACACACACACACACTTACGACGTCGTCTTGACGGTAACAGGCGAGACGCTGGAAGAGGTGGAAGTGTTGTCAACCGAGGCAATCGACATGATTGGTAACTGGATGAAAGGAGCGAAGCTGCAAATAGCCCACCACAAAACGGAAGTGTTATTGGTCAGTAACTGTAAAGCGGTACAGCGGGCGGAAATCACCGTCGGGGAGCACACCATAGCCTCGAAGCGTGTGTTAAAATACCTGGGAGTGATGATCGATGACCGGCTAAACTTCAACAGCCACGTCGAATATGCCTGTGAGAAGGCTTCGAAGGCCATCAACGCGATAGCTAGAATCATGCCGAACAACGCTGGTCCCAGCAGTAGCAAGAGGCGTCTTCTGGCCAGCGTGTCATCATCGATACTGAGATATGGAGGTCCAGCCTGGGTTCCAGCGCTGGAAACGAAGCAGAACCAAAGGAAACTGAGCAGTACGTTCCGGCTCATGGCCATGCGAGTCGTGAGTGCGTACAGAACCATCTCGTCGGAAGCAGTATGCGTTATCGCCGGTATGATTCCTATCGGCATCACCCTGGCAGAGGACAGTGAGTGCTACAGGCAGAGAGAAGCCGGAAGAGTACGGAAAGTTGTGAGAGTGGAGTCATTGGCTAAGTGGCAACAGGAGTGGAACACGACGGAGAACGGTAGATGGACACATAGACTAATACCGATTCTTTCGACCTGGGTGAACAGAAAACACGGAGAAGTCAATTTCCACCTAACGCAGTTCCTGTCTGGCCACGGCTGCTTCAGGAAATACCTGCATCGGTTCGGACACACAGCGTCACCCCTCTGTCCGGAGTGTGGCAACGTCGATGAAACGCCGGAGCATGTGGTCTTTGACTGTCCAAGGTTCGAGGCAGTGCGAACGGAGATGCCCGTCCTTAACGTGGAGAATGTCATTGATGAAATGTGTCGAGAGGAGGACTCTTGGAATGCCGTCAGCAGGGCAGTCACACAGATTATGTCAGAGCTGCAGCGTAAATGGAGAGAAGAGCAGCGATCTAGCAACGCCAGCTAGCGCTGAGAGTACGACAAGTGCATGAGCACAGCCACCCCCCGAAGTAGTCGCTTCACAGTGGTCCCGGGGGGATCCAGGCAGAGGAGAGAGTAAGGAATGGGTTTTAGTGGAGCTGCACTAGGCAACTAGTGGACACCACACCGTGCCACCTTCACTACAGGCCGGGCTTCTTGAAGCTTTCCTAAACCTTACTATTAAAAAAAAAAAGGGAAAAAAAAAAAAAAAAAAAACACACACACACACATACACACACACACACACACACACACACACACACACACACACACAGACACACACACACAGACACACACACTCACACACACACACACACACACACACGCACACACACACACACACACAGACACACACACACACACACACACACACACACACACACACACACACACACACACACACACACACACACACACACACACACACACACACACACACACACACACACACACACACACACACACACACACACACACACACACACACACACACACACACACACACACACACACACACACACACACACACACACACAAACACACACACACACACACACACACACACACACACACACACACAAACACACACACACACACACACACACACACACACACACACACACACACACACACACACACACACACACACACACACACAAAAGCTATTTTTAGTTGTCATTCAGTGCGGACGCGTTTTCAATTTGCTCGTAGCCACGTGCGTTTTCGTGGTATAGCACATTCTTTTTTTTGCGTGCTCTTCGTTTTTTATTCTTGTGTGTTATTTACTGAAACTTCACTGTCCACCTTAATATAATCGGTGTCAAATGTAAATAACAACACAACGTCGAAAGTAAAAAATGCGGTGTCGACATTGTCGCGCGGTCTTGAAGTCAACTCTTTAAACAAATCCGATGAGGTCGCTGGCATTAAAAACCACCTGACCTCATTATTCAATATATCCATTACGGGGGATTTGTCACGTGAGCTGACGAAAATATGTGATGAAGTGACAAATTTGAGCAGTATAACCATGGACATGGCTGCGCAATGCACTGAACGGTGTTCTACTTCAAATGTGTTGACTGGAGAGCAATGTCTTGCCGACGCAGTTGGTGGGGACATTTTGAATGAAATTAAATGCCTTGCCTCTGTAATTAATACTATGGACGCACGTTTGCCGTCCCCGCCCAGCCTAATGGGCGAATTGAACAACAAAAACTACCGAAATTATGCCGCCGACTCCGGTTGGAGGGTTTTGGGCGACAGGAAGGTGTGGAAAGCTGATTGGACGGAGTACGATGCTCGAAAATCGCGACATCTGAGCCAGGAAAAATTGGCTGCAAAGGCTAGTAAGCGGAGAAAGCAGAAAAGAGCCTACCAAAAAATGTTCAACAAAAACAACAACTCACACAATCATAGAAGAAACAACAACAACAACAACAAAATCAACAACAACAACTACAACAGAAACAACGACGACTACAACTGCAACACCAATCACGCCAACAACAACCACAACAACAACAACAACAACAACAACAACAACAACAACAACAACAACAACAACAACAACAACAACAACAACAACAACAACAACAACAACAACAACAACAACAACAACAACAACAACAACAACAACAACAACAACAACAACAACAACAACAACAACAACAACAACAACAACAACAACAACAACAACAACAACAACAACAACAACAACAACAACAACAACAACAACAACAACAACAACAACAACAACAACAACAACAACAACAACAACAACAACAACAACAACAACAACAACAACAACAACAACAACAACAACAACAACAACAACAACAACAACAACAACAACAACAACAACAACAACAACAACAACAACAACAACAACAACAACAACAACAACAACAACAACAACAACAACAACAACAACAACAACAACAACAACAACAACAACAACAACAACAACAACAACAACAACAACAACAACAACAACAACAACAACAACAACAACAACAACAACAACAACAACAACAACAACAACAACAACAACAACAACAACAACAACAACAACAACAACAACAACAACAACAACAACAACAACAACAACAACAACAACAACAACAACAACAACAACAACAACAACAACAACAACAACAACAACAACAACAACAACAACAACAACAACAACAACAACAACAACAACAACAACAACAACAACAACAACAACAACAACAACAACAACAACAACAACAACAACAACAACAACAACAACAACAACAACAACAACAACAACAACAACAACAACAACAACAACAACAACAACAACAACAACAACAACAACAACAACAACAACAACAACAACAACAACAACAACAACAACAACAACAACAACAACAACAACAACAACAACAACAACAACAACAACAACAACAACAACAACAACAACAACAACAACAACAACAACAACAACAACAACAACAACAACAACAACAACAACAACAACAA